CTTCACTTATATGTAATTGTAAAAAACGCCCATAAAAACTGCAAAACACAAAATGTAAATCGCAAGTTTACATGTATCTTCGCATGGTCCCAACAAACCTTCATGCCAAATTTGGTGAAGATCCATCAACAGGGGGCGAAGTAGTGGTAAGAAAACCGCGAAAACGCAAAATACAAAACTGAAAATTTGTATGTATCTCGTCATGAACCCAATGAACCTCCATGCCAGATTTGGTGAATATCCATCTAAAGGAGGTGAGGTAGTGGTAAAAATGCAAAAACACCCATAAAAACAGCAAAACGCAAAACTGAAAATTTGTATGTATCTCGCCATGCACCCAATGAACCTCCATACCAATTTTGGTGAAGGTCCATCCACACTCTGCGAAGTAGTTACGTGGACAGACAACAGACAGCACTATTATATTTAAATAAATTCTATTGTTCAAACTTTGGTTCTCCAAACATTTATTAAATCAAAAATTTAAATTAAGTCACATTAGGTCTAAATGATTTGACCCTGCAAAGAACACACTGACGAGGGCATAGGGCAGGGGGGGGGAGGGGAGATAGGTATACTTTAGCCCCCCCCTAAAGGAAATTCAAAGAATATAATTTTCTAACTTAGTTTTCCCAATTCAAACATTTTTTGTTTTTCACATATTACAAAAATTACTTAGGTACGCGATAATTCCAACAGATAACTTGTTTGTGTGTGGGGTATGGGTGGGGAGTCACTTAACCTGTTTGTGTGTCGGGTGGGGAGTCACTTTTTCGCATAAGTCGGTCTCGACTTATTTGTTCACCAAACTCTCCCACCTCAAGAAAACAAGCTTAAAACTGACATCTAATTGTTTTTCATATAAAAACACAAAAGAACGTTGTTGCTTACAGACTTTATGGGATTGTATACTCAGATAAAAGTCAGAGTTTTTATCCAACATTACAACAAAATTACTGATTAGTGAAATTAAAAAACCCTTCGTTAAAATGTTTGAGTTAATATTATATCGATCAGCTTCTTAGGAAACATTTAATACACGTGATTGACGTACATGAAGAGCCTGATTTTACAGAAAGGTTTACATTTGTACTGTGACCTAATGAAGCCTAACTTTCGGACGGTACAGTTACAACACTTCATTCCAACCTTCGTGTTACCAACATGTTATTATAACTTTCAGTATAGGTGTAGATTGTTGATTATATTTGTTTGTGCCTGTTAAAACACTCATTGGTTTGTTTGGTTCGAGCCTACAATATCCCGCTGAACACGCTTCACACTTTCAGCTGTGGGCGAGTGCTAGAAGTGACAGTTAATTCCGCAATCCGGTTCAGAATACCCGTGTAGGTGGCGAGTGTTGCTGATTGGTCATTTTGTTTTGTTTTGAATCTCGCGCAAAGCTACACGAGAGCTATCTGTGCTAGCCTTCCCTAATTTAGTAGTGAAAGACTAGAGGGAAGGTAAACAGTCAACAACACCCACCGCCAACTCGTGGACTACTCTTTTTAACCAACGAATAGTGGGATTGATAGTCACATTAAAACGTCTCCACGGCTGAAAGAGCGAGCATGTTTGGTGGGATGGAGATTCGAACCTGCGACTCGACAACACTCAGTGTGTAAAGAACTTATGAAAATTAAGTGGGTGAAATCAATCGTTCTTTATCTAAATTACATAAAGAGCCCCAAAAGTAATTAGTGGGATTAATTGAAATATTGTTTATTTTTTCTGGTGTTTTTGTTTAATTTTTTTTCTTTTGCGTGATTCATATCATATTAGTAATCCTGTAACAAAAACAGGCTTCACAAGTGATGTGATACATAAACAGTTTAAATGGTCTGTTTGGTAGTTAGGGCGCTCGAATCGCGAGTTCGAATCCGTTACCGAACATTCTTGTCCTTTCAGCCGTGAAGGTGTTATAAGGTGTAAGGCCATCCCACTTTTCGTTGTTGACAGAGTAGTTCATGTGTTGGCGGTGTGTGGTGTTGACTAACTGTTTTCCCTCTAATCTATCACTTCTAAATTAGGGACGGCTAACGAAGGTAGCCCTCGTGTAGCTTTGCGCGAGATTCAATAAATGAACAACAAATTGTGTAAAAAAAACTGTGTTTTAAAAAACGAAAAGCATACAGACCACATCAATAGTTCTAAAGTCAAATGCCTACGTTCTTCTTATGTGAGATAACATTCACCCCCCCCCCTTCTTTAAGCTGATGTGGTGAGTGTACGGGAATCTTGAATTATAAACCGTGATAATGTGCGTTCTTGATTGGAATATGACCTCATGACTCCCATACGGCACGTACACAAAAATCTTTGTACCTAGGAAACGTATAACTCAGGATTTTTGACGTATACATTCTTTATTTATATAACAGGCTTGGCAAAGCCCGCTGTTTGCGATATCCGTGGCGGTGGGCACAGCACAGATAGCCCATTGTGTAGCTTTGTGCTTAACTCGAAACAAACAAGACCATTGTGTTCGGAGCTCTGAATGAATAGGTCTTTCTTTTAACAATTAGATTCATGCATTGTATCCAGGGGTTTTATTATCATCAGGAGAAACCTAGAAGTCAGGTTTATCCTTATTGTGGTAAGAGACAGAATGATGAAGCAAAGAAGGAATAAAAAAAAACTCGTGGCTATATTCTTACGTACGCTGTCGGGTGTGGCTTAGTAATGCGTATCTGAACTGTAAATCCATGAGTTCGTGGTTTCCGTCCTGTCGATAAAAAAAAGTGCGCACTTCAATTTGGTGCTGTGTGTGTAAGAGTGACAGTTTAATCTTAGAATTCGGTCAGACAAGGGTAAACCAACAGTTGACTGGCTGCGTCTTTTCTAATCTGTTAGTTCAAAATTAGAAAATGCCATACGCAGATAACCCTTGTGCAGCACTGCGTGAAAATTCTATACAAATAAACATGCATATATATTTACACTAAATATATTAATGAGAAAACTGAAAATAAACAACTGTGTTTGTTAAAGTCATGAAAGAAGAAATAGACACCACTGCTATCAAGTTCAAAATTCAAGTCGTCGTACTCACTCACGTTTGATTTGTTCTCAGCTATTAATTTTTTTTTGTTTCCCGGTTTTGTTACGGGTTTACAATACTAAAATCAGGGATTCGATTCCCCTCAGTGGACACAGCAGATAGCCCGATGTGGCTTTGTCTAAAAAACACGCACACTTTTTTTTTTAGATATCCTTCAGCATATTTTTCACATCATAATTGGTGATAAGAAACAGTTAAGCACAAAGCTACACAATGGACTATCTGTGCTGTGCCCACCACCACAGTTATCGAAACCCGGTTTCTAACGTTGTAAATCCACAGACATACCGCTGTGCCACTGGGGGAGCTCTACGAGAGATTAAAAAAAAGGAGATAAAAAAATAACCTCTTTTTTTTAAGTTTTCTCCATAAACGTGTTCATGAGTTGGTTTACCTTCCGATAAAGTCCGAATGTAAAATACATAAACAAGTTATGATTCATAAAACTAGCCTTACATCATTAGAAGAAGTGTTTATTTACGTTTATTTTAGACATTGACAAAATGTAGTGAATAAATCTCGAATTTCTGAGAAAAAAAAAAACGTATATTGTTTTTGTTATTTTCCCCCAGTTTCTGTTCCTGAACATCTTAACAAAAACAAGATTTGTTTTAAGTCGGAACAGAACTGTCGAAACAGAAATGAAACGTGTTTGTGCAAACGAATTCTTCGCACGTGTGACGACCTATCATTCATTAGGCTAAACATGCTCATAAGAAATTTATCGTTTGTGTTATTTACAAGTATGTTTGCTTTCACTGTATTTTTGTCAGTATAAAAACAAAACAGAAAGTATTCCAAGCATGAAGAACAGTGTGTAATACGTAAGTAAGATGTTCGTGTTTTAAGTGAGCCTTTCCTTTTTCTCGAGGAGGATGTGTCGACCCAAACAAACATAGGCTTGCTTACGCACTAACGTCTTCTCTAGAGTGGTTGGCTGATGAGGTGGTACCAGTAGCGTCACAAATGCGTTACGTATCATGCTGATGGTCGAACCCTTACGTTCGGCGGTGCCTCTCTTGGCACAAGTTTTTCGAGCTGCTAATAAGGTTGAGCGTATCGCAACCATAAGTGTCGATATTAGTGCTACTAAGGGTTGACTGGACTTCAAACCCGTGGGTGGTGACTGGAAACGGTAAGGTTCCGTTCGTTATTTCATACTATCAACGGCCACGTGTAATCTCCGATTTAAGATTACACGAGGTAAAAATACTAGAATGTAACAAAGTAAAACCGTGGATGTTTCATGAGCATAATTGTAAATACTGAAACAGAAATCTTTGTGTGTATTGTGTAACTGTTATACTAGGGCTGTTTATTATGTGCTGCATCGTACTCGGTATATAGTTAAATACTCAAACTTAACGTGGTGGAAAACAGTTAAACGAAAGTCGCTCTCATTGTCAGTGGCTGAGCTGTTTTAAGTTGCATAAAGTAGCTCCAGGGAAGCTTATAAGTAAACGAACAAGTAGCGAAATTCTGGGAAAAATCGTTCTTAAAAGTTTTGAAATATTTCGCGCGCCCACTGGATGACCTTAAACAGATACACATATATATTTACGTAATCTTTTATCTGTAAAATAATATTTAATGTGTGTTAAATATTGAAGTAGCTTGGGAATCTATCGCAACATATAAACAAAACATAGCGTTAAAACTGAATTTCTAACGGCCATATTTTTTGTTTTTACGGTTCTCTATTATCCTTGCACCAAATTTTGGCCAAATGGGAACAATAGTATTAACTTTTCAAGTTCACTATGGAGGAGTTGGGGTTTTCACTCTTTAGACTAACTTACATTAGGCTTAACATGTTTTTAAAGTCGTTCTAATTAATATGAGACAATAAGAAACAACAAAATAAACGAATAATAATTTGTATACAGATCGAATAAGAGAGAACATGATGTTTGAATATTTTGTTATTACATTACTGTCCTTGAGCGTTATTAAGAGAAATCCAGAATGCTGTGTCAGAAATGATCGATTACCATTACATTATAATGAAGTCTTACAAAAGCATTCTATGTCGACCTGGTTCATTTATGGTTTCTTTTTCCTCTTTCCGTAAAACAAAATTATTATGGCAAGCGTGTGAGGTCATGCGCAGCGACTAAATAGCAATCTTGTTGTGGTAGAAATGAAATAAGATTTGAACGATACGAAGACAAATGTCTCAGCCCTAAACAAGTAGAACACTTTCGTCTTTGATTGAGTCGATGTGCTAACTTGGGTGTAGAAGAAAACTTGCAAAAAGTGATAACGAGAAATGTTAAGCCTAACAAGGGTTAGAGCTCTTCAGTTTTCGAACACAGTTTTGTGTTTCAAAGCTAAAACCTTCTGACCTTTGTATTTACGTGTTGAATCGTGTTCACCCCCTGGGGAATTTTTAAAGTGAAACAATAAAATCGGATGTCTCTATAGTCGTAAAGTATTCATTCTTTTTTCAAATGTATATTTATCGGGGTTCTGCGTGAAACATCCAATGGAAACGAAGTATCCGATATAGAGTGATGTTACTTAAAAGTAAGTTACTTGGCGTGATTTTTGCAATACAACATAATAAACTATGATTGTAGCAGACAATCAAATAGGGAAATGCTTAGAGAAATAGGGAAATGCTTATTATAACTAAATCCAGTTATAATAGCAGTATCTCACAAATCTCACGTGGTTAAGAGTAAAAAATAGCTACTGAAATATGAAAATTAATTGTCGGACATACTTTTTTTTTCTTAGTTGTTTCATATAAAGTTTTGAAATAAATAACCTGCAGTTAAGAGGAAAGGGGGGTGCGTTGTTGCACGGACAGCACAAAAGTTTCAACTTTACAGGACGTGCTATTCTAAGGGGAGCTCAAAAGTTTTAATTTTGCATGAAGTGCTTTTTCAAGGGGGAGCCCAAAAATCTCAAATTCGCAGGATTTGCTTGCTATTGTAAGGGGGGCACAAAAGTTTCAACTTTGCAGGATGTGTTATTGTAAATAAGAAAATAAATGTCCTAATTTTGTATGATTGAATATTGCAAAAAAAAAAAAGAAAAACGAAAAACAACAACAAAATAAAACCATCTAGTTTCGTATTATGTCTTGAAACGCCAGAAGTAAAAAAACAAAAACAGTCAGTCGTCTTTTAACTGACCAATGAAAGAAAATTTTGATTAGCGCGAACCCAAAGATAATGAATGGTAAATAGGTATTCAAGGAAAACAAAATTCAAACTACATCGGATAACATTCACTAATTACGTAAAATCTGATTGAAAAACCTACGCGATATTCCGCGAATATGTAAGCTTAGGGTTATAATTGGGTAAGTTGATGGGCCTGCTTATTAATATATATATTTCACGTATTTAATTCTGTCTCTTCCTTGTTCTTCGGTTTATGAATGCGTTGCTATTTTCTTTGTTTGGCCGTGTTGAACTCTGTCAGTACCCAAGTCTATATTCATGTTTCTGTTTGTGTCTGTCTGGCCATCTGTGGTTATTTCTCATTATTTGCGTCTCGTGTTCTACACCTGTTAGTCTTTCTGTAGAAGTTTATCTATTCATCTGTTTGTCATTCTGTTCAGTTTACATGTTTTTAGTCATCTACCTGTATGCTTTTATATGCGTATTTCTGCGAATGTCTATATATCGTACGTAAAAAAGGAAAAATAGAAGTTCTCAAAACCTGATACAGATTTAGTTTATTTTACTCTGGACGAAAATAATAAAGTATTAGCTGTAATGAGTAAGAGTGAGTAAGAACGAATAACATTACAGAGAAGCAAACAGCCAAGGATAAAACTCGGTTCCGCATTCAACAGAGTTTTGTAATTCAATATTAAGGTAAGCAACTCATCATATGTACTGTTTCCATTTTTTTCCCTTTTGATATAAGCATACATATACGCGTTTCTTGTTTTAGAAATTAGCACTCGTACGATGAACAGATGATATCATAAAAACGACATAGACTGAAAAGATGGGTTGATGTTAAACTCCATAACGTAAGGAGTGATCTTCACGCAAAAGTATTCTACCGAAGAAAAATATTCTACCAATTTTGAGGTGACGTCACTTGACCCACGTGGCTCTTCCTTGTTGATTGGGTGTCGCGAAGTTGATATGTTGCGTTAGTTCAGACGCAAATGAATACGTTTGTAATTCTATCCTTCACGCTTAGGAAAAGCTAAAATCTACAGCAGTTTTAATTAAATTTCTACCTAAACTTAATTTTGTGGGCGTGGAAACACTGCCAAGAAAACGTTTCACTTGTTGAAGAGACGGAAACCTTCTGCTTAAAGTTACAAACAAGGAAGCGTAAATTGTGTAGCATGCACATGTAAAATATAGATACCGCTTCGTGCAAAATACAAAATGGCTTCTCGGAACTAAAAATGTATACTATAATCAGTGATTATATAAATTAAAAATTGACATTTTAAATATCAAAATCTAAACTACTTTTCTTATGTATCTGTTATATATATATGGTGTTCTAATTAATTTCCTGCCCCCCCAGTGGCACAGTGGTATGTCTGCGGACTTACAACGCTAGAATCCGTGTTTCAATACCCGTGGTGGGCAGAGCACAGATGGCCCATTGTGTAGCTTTGTACTTAATTACAAACAAACCAATTAATTAATTTCCTTGCTTCTAAACACTATGATACTTCAGGGGGAGGGTTCTGGGGGCATTAATGATTTCCCAACATCCTTTAAACAACAATTCTCTCTGAACGATTTGTTCGTACTATCAATTAAATAACTCTCTCTGCAAGATTCGTTGGTACTACCAGTAGTTACACTGATAAGAGTGCCACATAAGGAACTAAATGATGTACAACTAATTATTAGAAGGATATGTAAACGCATATAAAGAAGGAACTAACCAGGCTGGTTTTAAAACATTAATCACAAAACTATTTTGAATGCTAAACATAGCTTTATCTTTTGTTCTTTTACTGTTATTCTGTCTTCCGGTGGGACAGCGGTAAGTTCACGGACCTACAATACTAAAATCCGGGGTTCGATTTCCCGCGGTGGACAGAGTAAGTACCCCGATGTCGCTTTACTCTAAAGCAAGCAAAGAAACAAACAAACTGTAATCCAATCTTGATTGCCCTTAATATCTAGTACCTTCTTATTTTCAGAACATAAGTACTTAGTGAAACACCATTAGGCTTAGTGAGTACTCGCACACACACACCTACTACGATTGTGACCTTCAGTTACCGAGTAGTCCAAATAACAAACAAACACCCATCGTCACCTGACACAAAATGAACCTAACAACTACAACTGTAGACATGCCAAAGTTATAAAGTACGATTGAGGAGCTCTAACTTTCAGCAGGTGGGAGTTACTCTGCTTTTTAAGAAAAAAAAAAAAGTTACATCCTCCAATAAATGTTCAAAATGCCCGTGTTTTCTATTTTTAATTTCACGATTTCTACTATATTTCTCTGTTTTTACAAATGTGTATGTTTACAAGT